GCTAGATTTTCAATTGCCTTCCTATCAGCAGAATGCTTCAGTCCCCATATTATCTCGGAAGCTAGTCATCTACTTCTGTTTTCGTTACCTTAATAGAAAACCATCATATTTTGAAGATATCATACAAAACTGCCACGTTCCTGAGAGCATGAAATGGAAATACAAAAAATGGATAAGTGCTGACAATATTCCTGATGAATTCAAGATTAGAGGCTACAAACCTCAGAAGTACACTTCATATAAACCCGAAGTCCATGAAGCAATCAAAGAAGTGCTAGCAATGACATTTTCCCCTCTTTTAGCTGAAGATGCCATCATTTGCCAGCTCCCAGAATCCTATATTGTGACCTGTGAGTTTGACGTGCTTAGAGATGATGGGCTGTTATACAAGAAGCGATTAGAGGACAACGGCATTCAAGTAACCTGGTATCATTCTGAGAGTGGTTTCCATGGCATTTTAGCCTTTTTTGGCTATGGGATTTTTTCCTTTTTATCTGGAGAAAAGATAATGGATAATACTGTGAATTATATAAACAGTCTATAAAAGTATTTTTCAGAAAAATGATGCAGGCCTTACACTATCCTTGGTGAATTTATGCTTGGCAAAGAAGGATTTATATTTTATACATTTTACATATACATTTGATTTATATTTTCTATTTTGACTGTATGAGGAATCTGATTTCTCATTCTGCAGTTACTTACAAAAAATTCTAAGGTTATTAAAGCACCACCAAAACACTATAATAAAAACACACCAATGAAATGGAGCACCTGGCACTTCACCTCCAGCCATTGCAGTAGCTGGCACACAGTCAAGGCAAATAACATAGAATCACAGAATTATTAAGGTTGGAAAAGACCTCTAAGATCATTCAGTCCAACCATCCACCTACCATCAGTACTGCCCACTAACCCACGTCTTCCTGAAGTTTTCTCTACAGCCTAGAAATGCTGAAGACAACAACTGGAGGTCACTTTGGCCCTGGTGAAGGTAGGAAATGTTTATGGAACCCGTCTTAGGTTCGGTGAAGCCTTGTGTCAGATATGAATTTTAATGCAGCTATGCATTCCAACTTCTAGGGTTAGCTCACACAAGGACTACACTTTTCTTGAAATAAAGACTTCTTTCTGAAACTGAGTTCTCAGTTGGAATTACTATGAGCTCGATTTTGTTTGGAATCTGAGAAATGATGTTTTCCTTTGGGATTTGATTCTTTAATTGGAACCCCCACACTTCAGTGAATGCTCCACCTATTATTCTGTTTTTCTTTGGAAAGTTCTGAAGACCCCAGTTGTCTAAGACAACTCTCAACTTTCTCTACTCTAAGAAAGTAGAGAAGTGGGACATTGCATTATCTTACAAGGAGCTGTGATGTCATGGCAATGTTGTGATGCTTTCAGCAACAGCAACAAAAATAAAAACCCGTACTGTGAAAATGTCAGTTTTAAGAGCAGGTTAAATTTGCTTAACACTTATCCAGTAACAAATCTAATTGAACCAATCTAAATGCTTGGTGAAAGAAGCAATGCAACACCGGCAGTGACCACAGCCTTGCTAATTTTACCTCGTCAGATCTGTCATTTCATGGTGTAGCATTTCCTCAGATGGGAAAGCTGTAAGATATTACTCTGTAAGATATTATTCTGTCAACGTCTGTGTCTCAAAGCTTGCTGGGGACACAGATGGACTTGTTCAAGTCCAGACAAGTCCCGAGCAAGGATTGTGAAATCCTTTGTCTGGGGGAATGCAGATGGACAAGGCCAGGGGCAACGAGAGCGAGATGAGCTGCAGCTAAATAGCTGTGAAGTGCTCCTTTGTGTGGACCCATCTCCGGATGATGGCCATCTCAGGGGGTACTCAGTGACTCTTGCTCGAGGCCCATCCTTGTCACGTAGGCAGGAGAATAAGGAGGATAAAAGAGGAACTGAAAACCATGAGGATAGGTTTCTGACAACAGATTCCTCATGAAGAACGGGGTTTTCTGACAAGAGATCCCTCATGAAGAAGAACGGAGGATTTCTGGCAGCAGATTCCTCCTGAAGAAGAAGAGAGAGAAATTCCGGAAGATAGAGGGATTCCTGAAGGTTGAGGTGATTCCTGCATACTGTCGAACTCTCCTGAGCCTGCTGCCTGACCGCTGTTGCTGCTTCAAGAATTGGCTCCTCGACTTCCTCGTCTACCTGCCTGCTGCCCAAGGCTGGCCACGCTGCTGCTCCCCGTCTTCTGCTGCGTTCTGCCCGGGACCTTCAAACACTGTGCAACGGGACGCTGCTGGATCCTGCTGGTGACTCTCCCCGCTTTACGCAACTCCTGCTTCTTTTCCATCTTTTCTATCGCACTCCTTCCCTTCCCTGTCTCCCTGATTAGGTCTTAGTAATAAACCGGATGCAACAACATATGAACCGTTGTTTCTTAATCTCACACCGGGCATACAGATATTAAAGAACCTCATCTCCCTCCTATAAATTGGAGCGAGACAAAAGCATGCTGAATCATTGAAAGGTTGGGTTGGGAGGGACATCAGAGATCACAGAATCACAGAGTCATAGAATGGCCTGGATTGAAAAGCACCACAATGCTCATCCAGTTCCAACCCCCTGCTATGTGCAGGGTCACCAACCAGCAGCCCAGGCTGCCCAGAGCCACATCCAGCCTGGCCTTGAATGCCTGCAGGAATGGGGCATCCACAATCTCTCTCCTCCAGTTTCCCCCTGAAGTCACTGAAGCTTACTTGATACAAGATAACCTGATCATGAATCTAAACTCAGTCTCCTCTACTGTTTTATTAACGATGCATTCAAATGAATAGTCGTTGTTGTTGGCTTTATGACAACCAGCTTCTTGTTCCAGGGAAGAAATTATTTAGAGTAACAATATATAAATGGAGAAACTAGAAATCTTTCAACTGAAATTTCCATCTTGTCCACAAGGGAAAAATTTAAGCACTACTGCTGATGCCAATTTTTTGGATAACTTTTCAACCAGACACACGCAAAGAACAAGCAGGAAAAGCTGGCTGAACAAATATAAAGCTGTTAGATACCCTTGCATTAACAATAATGAAGAAAGGCATGAAATCAGAAAAAATAACACTGGAAAACATTAGAGAGAAACAGTGAAAGAAGAACAAGTGACCCAACTCATGAGACAGGCTGTGATAATTCCACAAGGTTTAGAGAAGCATAAAGAGAACTGTAATCGCCAAGCAATGGAGGATGGGGCCAATTGCAATGCAGTGTTTGCAGCTGATGTCAGTAGGAAGAGCTCTTCATGCTGCACTCTGCAGAGCTAAGCCTGGGCAGAGCTAGGCAAGAGGCATTTAAAAAAACAACAACGCTGAATACTGAATACTGAAGCTATGGAGAAGTTGAAAGATGTGCACTTAATTTTATTTCCCATTCTCTTAATTATATTCTAAAGAATAAGAGAACATGTATTATCTAGTCAGAATAGAGAAGTACCTCTGTTTGAATTCAAAGCCAAACTCAGAGCCATCTAACTGCAGGACATGTCTTACAGCTCATTCAGCACTCTCCTAGCCACAAATTAATCTTTTTTCTTTACTGATTGATTTGCAATGATTGCCATATATATGGCAATAACTTCCTGCTAACTAAATGGACATGGATAGGGTGGGGAAACGAGATGCTAAATGAACACATTTCACAGAATCACCAAGGTTGGAAAAGACCTACAGGATCATCCACCCCAACCATCCACCCATCACCAATAGTTCTCACTAAACCGTGTCCTTCAACACAAAATCCAAACGTTCCTTCAACACCTCCAGGCTCGGTGACTCCATCACCTCCCTGTGCAGCCCATTCCAGTGCCTGACCACTCTTTCAAACAAGTAGTATTTCCTAACATCCAGCCAAAATCTCCCCTGGTGCAGCATGAAGCCTCTGGTTCTATCACTGTTACACAAGAGAAGAGGCAGACCCCCAGCTCATTACAACCTCCCTTCAGGTGGTTACAGAGAGCAATAAGGTCTCTTCTGAGCCTCCTCTTCTCCAAACTGAACAATCCCAGCTCCTTCAGTTGCTGCTCATCAGCCCTGTGCTCCAGACCCCTCACCAGCTCTTTTGCCCTTCTTTGAACCCGCTCCAGGGCCTCCATGTCTTTCTTGCAGTGAGGGGTCCAAGACTGGACACAGCAGTCGAGATGGGGCCTCACCAGAGCTGAGTACAGGGGGCAATCACTGCCCTGCTCCTGCTGGCATTTCATATCCCTCAGTGTACAGAGATACCTCTACAGATTTGAAAAGCATGGGACAAGCATCTCTAGATAAACTTCTTCTGAAATGGATAGTTGGATAGTGACAGGATAAAGAGGAATGGTTTTAAACTGAGACAGGGGAGGTTTAGGTTGGATATTAGGAGGAAGTTTTTCACCCAGAGGGTGGTGAGGCACTGGAACAGGCTGCCCAAGGAGGCTGTGGATGCCCCATCCCTGCAGGCATTCAAGGCCAGGCTGGATGTGGCTCTGGGCAGCCTGGGCTGCTGGTTGGTGACCTGCACACAGCAGGGGGTTGGAGCTGGAGGAGCATTGTGCTCCTTTGCAACCCAGGCCATTCTGTGATTCTATGATTCTATGATTCTATGAAATGTATTTGATAGTGCCACAGGCTCAAGGAATACGAGCACCTCGTGTCTTTTCTCCACCCTCTAACTGATTTTAATGCAGTTGATTCATTACACTCCTGTCCCTGCCAAGGACTGCTTTCCTGCAAAAATTCCAAAATGTTGCTGGCATAGATCTTGTAACAGAATTCAGAACTTGATTTATCTTTTGTGAAATTAAGGGGTATGCAGAGGGAGAGTGGGAGAGGGAAAGACACGCAGTAATGTATTAGCAAAAGGGAGGAGAAAAGCTTTTCACCAGGGCAGCCTTCTGACAAACAAAGGCATTTAAGAATCAGGAAGTAAGAAACCAAAGATATCGGGGAAAGTCGAATCAAAGACATTTCAGGTCACTTTGTCCACAGCTGTGCAAAATGGCAGCTATTTACACGATCCTCGTGCTTTTCCTGGCAGTTTTTGTTGCTGGATTGATACTGTTGGTCATGGCGGCATTTAATTTTGATTTCTCCAACTCTGAAATTCCTCCTGGAGTGAATGAACCTGTGAAGCTTCGAATCACTCACGTTATTTTGATAAGCACGGCTGTGGTGGTAAGTTAACCTTGTGTGACTGTGATGGGAGGAATGGTGAACCTGAATGCAAGGCTAGAACTTTGCCATGCAAGGCATAGCTGGCATGCTGCAAGTTGCATCTAGAGCTCAGTTTTGCTAAAGAAACCTTTATCAGATTCTTCACATTGCACTGCCTCATTACAGAGATTATGCCCAGCTCTTACATGAGGCAGTACACAAGCACTGCCTAACACAGGGGTTAGAGAGCCTGACTGCGCCTCTAATGTGAACTGTGCTAACCTAGCATAAAGTAGAATACTTACTAGAAATGAAATAGAAGCTGTTTCCATTCAAGGCTCAGAATGTAGCCAGTGTCCTTGGAGGCATGCTTTCAAGCTTTGCTTGGGCTTGGGAGTGAAGGGTTTTGTGTTTGTTTTGAAGATAAAATTACAGACTGAACTACTGGTTTGGGAAAGGGTTTGATCTTTGTGAAACAAGTGACAAAACTGGGGGAGGTTGCCCAAGAGGGGCTGAAAGAATTCCATCTCCCCACGTATTTGTAACTTACGAGCAGCTAAGCAAGCTTGTTTGGATGGGATCAAAGAGCAAACAAGGGCTAGGGCTGTTAGCAGCACCCGATTTCTGGTTGGTTGTGCTGACAAAGGATCTAACTGAACCCAGAATGATAGAGGTAATGATAGATGCTAACAGGGGTGTTAAGAATATGTGAGAAGTCGTGCACGCACTCAATAAATTACTTAAGCACCTCCAAGAGAGACAAATTACTGAAGATGAAATAAATATATTTGTATATTTCTCAGTTAGGATTATTCCTGATTGTAGTGGACAGTACTAAAGAATTCCAGCATGTGTGTTCTCATAGTTCAGTACAAGATATAATCAGAAAGACTTCAGTTAAGCACCTGGAAAAGCCAGTTCTCCTTTTGTCACCTGCCCACTGGTCCCATAAACCAGAACTGTGTGCTGCAATGTAACACAGTATAAAAAACAACAAACAGGGTCAATATTGAGGTGAGAACGACTCCGTAGTTGTTCCATTTCTGTTTGGAGGACAGCAAATACACTAAAAGAAATAATTTCATCCATTGCCCACGCAGTTCCTTTGCACTGAAAAATACAGAATCTCCTGAGTGAATTCCCTATTTTTTTGTGTGTGTTTGAACAGGGAAAGATTTTGGAAAAGATTGGCATCTGTAGCCAGATCAGCTTTGTTCGGTACATGCAAGGCATTAAGGCTCTGGGAGCAGACCAGAAGCTCCTCATTGAGGACCTGTGCTTTGAGAAAGTGCCTGTAAGGATTTACCAGCCCAAGGCTCCATCTGCCAGCCCAAGGAGAGGAGTAATGTTTTTCCATGGAGGAGGATGGGTGTTTGGAAGTGTTGGTAAGATGTCTAACAGAAGAAATTATTGTAATTTAGTTTAAAAAGCAGCTTCCACATGAATGGTAAGGTTGCTAGTTGCTTAACCTGTAGTTGTTATGAAATTTGAGTATAACCACAGATGCACTCTTCTAAGTCTTGCTGTAATATCTGCTATGCTTCACGTGATTTTTCCTAAAGAAAGACAATGAGATACGAGGGGAAAGCACCAAACATAACGGAAAGAGACGATCAGAGGGCAAAAAAGATCTGCAGAGCTGTGCAGGGAGAAGCACAGAAAAGGCGTGCTTCTTCCTTGCAATTCATTGCCTTAAGTAATGACAGCATTAGAACTCTTGATGAAAAAAAGCCCCACGAACAACAAAACACAAACAAAAGCAACCAAAGAATAACACAACAAAAACCCCACATGAAAACGTTTCTTTCAGAGACCCATGAAAGCCTGTGCCGCTCTCTTGCCCGAGGAAGTGACTCGGTGGTTGTGTCTGTCGGGTGAGTCTTTTCTCATGCCATTTTTAAGGATTATTTTCCATACTGTGAATGACACCTTACAGCCTCCATGACCATGGTGACAGCTGTAACCAGAGAAATATTTCTGTGGGATGCGTGATTTTACAAATTTGCACTGCTTTCATTTGGAGCCATTTAAGACTGCCTCGGAATTTCATTGCCTGATTAAATTGAATAACACTTCTGGGTATCTAACTGGAAAAAGTAGGACATGTTCCTAATTCCTAGAATTAGGAATTCCAATCTAGAAATTGATAGTAAACAGAGAGTAACTCCAGTATTCTATTTAATCCTCACTCAAAGAAACTACTTGATGCTTACAGGAGCATTACATGAATGACAAGCTAATATTATCATCATTATATTGACAACTACTTGGATGATGAGTACTAATGAACATACAGAAAGGAAATAGTGCAATCTGACACATGGAAAGCATGAAATGATTAAGGGTCAGTCCATAGAACCTGGACGTAGATAGCAGCTGAGTACTCCTGAGTTGTTCAAGACCTGAGCAATGCCATAAACAGACAATGACCCAACACAGTCAGCCTCCACCACCTGGCCTTGCTAGTCACAAGCTGCTTTATGACAACCCATGGAGAAATGGAAAGGTAATCGTGGTATTGCTGGTGGCTAGAACTGCTATTTTCAGCACTGCATTTAACATTAGCATCATTCCTTTTCCTACTTTTGTCGTCTCCTTCCGTGCATTAGGTATCGTTTAGCTCCTGAGCACAAATACCCTGCTGCGTATGAAGACTGCCTTCATGCTTCCATACACTTTATGAGGAATGCAGAGCACTATGGGGTGGATCCTGCCCAGATCAGTGTCTGTGGGGACAGTGCTGGGGGCAATCTAGCGGCTGCTGTTAGCCAGACCCTGGCAGGCAGAGCAGACCTCCCCAGGCTGCGTGCTCAGATCCTGATCTACCCAATACTGCAGGCACTGGACTTCAATTTGCCATCCTATAAGCAAAATCAGGCAGTCCCTCTCTTATTCCAAGAACGCGCTGCTTTCTATGTGTTACAATACCTGAACGGGAACGCCTCAAATCTGGAACAACTCCTGGAGGGTTCACACATCCCTATAGATGTCCGATTAAATTATAGGAAGTGGGTGAGTGAAGATTACATCCCTGAGAGGTTTAAAGTTAGGGGCTACAAGCCACATGTGCTACTGGACTGTTCAACTGAGGTTTATGAGACGGTGAAGCGGTTCTGTGAGCCCAACCTGTGCCCCCTGCTAGCTGAAGATGCTGTTGTTCACCAGCTGCCCGAGTCCTTCATCTTGACTTGTGAATATGATGTGCTGAGGGATGATGGCTTGCTGTACAAGAAGAGGTTGGAGGACAACGGAGTCCAAGTGACCTGGTGCCACCTCGAGGATGGGTTCCATGGAATCATCAACTCATTTAATAGTGAATGGATGTCGTTTTCATCTGGAAAAAGAGGTCTGGACAATATTGTGAACTTCCTAAAAAGTTTATAGAGACAAATTCTTCTATTCCTTCCAATAAAATTACTGTTTTTCTTTGAGTCTCTTATGTTTCTGAATTCCATCAGAGGACAAGAGTTAAAGAGCAATTATATTAAAGAGCAATTATGACATTAAGACTACTGAAAAAGGACATTTTGAAAAGAAAAAATGGTGATTGTTTCTTCCAGCGCTGTTTCATGTGCAGTCTGCCTGTTTTAATGATCTATTTCAGTGAGGCACTTGCTGCTCTCTCAGTAAATATTAAAGATGCTGTAAAATTTTAAATCAACATCTGGTCTTGCCCATTTTATTCACTTACAATCTGTGGTTTCACTCTTCCCAGAAGCCTAAATGTGTTCTGGCAAAGGAGAAAGGTACTGATATTACAGTCCAATGACGTGTTGCCTTTACTATATGTTATACGTGCAGTATCTAAGCCTAAATGTCCCAGCCACCAAGTTCCATAATGTTTCTATGGGCGAAGTGTAGCTCAGTGATATTTCACACCTGGATCAATGGAATCAGAATTGGAGCAATCCTTGACAGAGCTACTTTGAACAGCTTTGTGCAGATTGCAGTGGAGATGCTCTACGTGGGTTTCTACATCTATCAAACATGAGTAAGCTGAAAAACTTGTTCCTGTATTTAAATACTCCAACAACAAAATAAGGCCAACGCATTTATGTTTGTGAAGATTGTACTAGCAGCTTTTTCCTTTATAAATGCCCTTGCTAATACCATATATTCCAAGCTACTCAAAGAAGGTCTGTAGCACAGGAAGGAGTACGCTGTGGCTGCAGATCATATGCAAGAGCTGATTTAACCTCCACGCTAGTTGGCTCACTCTTCATCTAAATAGCAACACATCACGAAGTAGGACTTCACTAATTAACTGCTCTCTCTGAACAGCTGATCCTATCATCCGCAATCCAAGAGTGCCATGTCGGATACCAGTCCCTGTATCAATCCCACAATTATTGAGCAGCTAAACAGGAAATCAGACACATTCTCTTCTGTCCCTTTTCCGATGTGATGCATGCTGGCACCTTGCACAACGTTTCCAAGGATTTTTAAGCGTGGCACTTGAGAGAAGTGTTTTAATTTGGGCTGCTCCATCAGTCCTTGCTATCTGCATCAAAGACAGGTGCAGAAACAGCCCACCTTCGGCTAAGTGAAATGGAACTTTTTTATGTCCTGTTAGTGGTACTGCTGGTGGTTTTTACTGCCTCATTCACATTAGCAATTATAAGAACGCTTCAGGTGGACTTTCCCAATGTCCACATCCCTCCTGGAGTGGATCAACCTGGAAAGCTTCGTGTTGTCCATGCACATATGGTTTTTACATCTGCTGTGGTGAGTTGCTTTGCCATGATTTCTGACAGAAGTGAGCTTTATGTGTTATTTTCTGTTAGGTTATATGTGTAAATATATACATATATATATATATAAAAGTTTATATGTGTGTAAATATATATCTAGGGTTGTTGAAGCAATCCCAGATATGAATTCAGAGTGGGAAAAGAACTCATTGAGAGCAGCCCTAGGGAGAAGGAAGGACTTGGAGGTCCTGATGGGTGAAAAACTGAACATAAGCCAGTAGTGTGCACTTGCAGCCCAGAAGGCCATCTGTATCCTGGGCTGCAGGAAAAGAAAAGTGACCTGCAGGGAAAGGCGGGGGATTGTCTCCCTCTGCTCTGCCACTGTGAGGCCCCAGTTGCAGTTCTGCATCCAGCACAGGAGGGATGTGGGACTATTGGAGCAGGTCCAGAGGAGGGCTGTGAGGATGCTCAGGCTGGAGCACCTCTCCTATGGAGAAAGGTTGGGGACCTGGGCTTGTTCAGCCTGGAGAAGAGAAGGCTCTGGGGAGATCTCAATGCAGCCTTCCAGTACTTGAAGAAAGCTTAAAAGCAGGAGGTGGACTGAATTTTTACATGATCTGACAGTGATAGGACAAGGGGGAATGTTTCTCAACTATAGAGGGGTGATTTAGGTTCGATGTTAGGTAGAAATTCCAGAGAGCTGTGGGTGTCCCATCCCTGGAGGTGCCCAAGGCCATGCATGGACCCTGGGCAGCCTGAGCTGGTGGGGTTGCAGACTGCAGTGAGGTTGCACCCCTCGGCAGGGGTTGGAACTGGGTGATATTTAAGGTCGCTTCCAAGTCATTCTACGAGTCTATGAAATGCCAGAATCCTGTGGGCTGCATTAACACTTCAGTGAAGGGTTTCCTTTCCTTCCTTTTTTTGGTTGACTTCAGAGGATGTTTTTTGTCAGATCCTTTCTATCAGACCTCAGATATCTCCATCTCTGATGGGATTGCCTACCATGTCAGGATGAAGCCATCTGTGAGAGCCCAAACCGAGCACATCTTCCCTCACTCCATTTAAATGAAAGATTTATGAACAGCAAGATGGCTTTGGCTGCACTTTAGCTAAGCACAGATGTTGTTTTCAGGCCATTCACTGGGCTTTCCAGCTACACTGGTGGGAGACTGGGTGCTTTTAAAGCTGATCAGATAGCACCTCTTGGGAAAACCTTGGAACACAACATCTGCACAGGGCATCCTCTCTTGTGTCTGCATGCTCCTTGTGGCTCCCTCACAGCCTGCCCCTTCCTCCAAACAGGGCAAGATCTTGGAGAAGATGGGAGTGTGCACAGAGATCACCTTCACCCGCTACATGCGCTCAGGGAAGAAGCGGGGCCCGGAGCCGCAGCTGTGCCTGCAGGACATGCGCTTCGACGGAGTGCCGGTGCGGCTCTACCTGCCCCGTGTGCCATCTGCTGCCCTGAGGCCTGCCACCATCTTCTTCCACGGCGGCGGTTGGATTTACTGCAGCATCGGTAGGGAGGGAGAATTCTGCCCAGACAGCTGGGAGAAGGGATGGAACGGCCCCAGTTTCGGGCAGCGAGGGGCTCTGGGCTGCCTCACAGGGAAGTGATACGGCTGAGGGGGCAGAGGGAGAAACGGAGGTGAAGGGCGTGAAGGGCAGAGAGGGACAGAGCTGTGCACCTAGATGGGAGCAGGCAGCCCACGCACCCTTTTCTTGCAGATTCCCATGACAACATCTGCCGTTACATCGCCAGAGAGAGTGGCTCCGTGGTTGTGTCTGTTGGGTGAGTTAGGTCCGCACTACCCAAGGCAGTGGGTGATTTCCCCTTCCCTCCCTTCCCCTCTCCTGCCCTCCCCTCCCCCCCTTCCTTTTCTCCCCCCCTTTCCTCCATTCCCCCTCCCTACCTCTCTCCTTCCTTCCTTCCTTCCTTCCTTCCTTCCTTCCTTCCTTCCTGCCTTCCTGCCTTCCTGCCTTCCTGCCTTCCTTTTTCCCGCCTTCCTGCCTTCCTGCCTTCCTTTTTCTTCCTTTCCTTCTCTCCCCTTCCTTCCTTTCCCTTCCTTCTCTTTTCTTCCCTCCAAACACCAGAATTTTCAAGGGAAATATCCTAAATGAAGGTGAGGTGCAGGCTGACTGAATTCCCATATCCACACCAGCAGACTGCAGTGAGGTTGCACCACACCTTCTGCTCAAACCTTATCTCAGAAGATCACAGCAGTGCTACACCTTTGCAACTTCATCCTCCTGGCTGTTGCTTCCCTGTGATAATTCATAGAATCTCAGAATCACAAAGGTCAAAAAGACCACTAAGATCATGCAGTCCAACCATCAGCCCATCCCCACCATGCCCACTGAGCAGATCCCTCAACCCACAGATGTGGAAGGCGACGTGCTTAGCAGACAATGAATGACAGTGGGCTCGTTGGTTGGTGTTGCTGAAAACACTACAGGTAGCACAGGGAAATGCAAGGTGCTAGAAAACTGTAATCCTAGTTACATTTCCATCTCACTCTTGTTTCTGTGCATTAGGTATCGTTTAGCTCCTGAGCACAAATACCCTGCTGCGTATGAAGACTGCCTTCATGCTTCCATACACTTCATGAGGAATGCAGAGCACTATGGGGTGGATCCTGCCCAGATCAGTGTCTGTGGGGACAGTGCTGGGGGCAATCTAGCTGCTGCTGTTAGCCAGACCCTGGCAGGCAGAGCAGACCTCCCCAGGCTGCGTGCTCAGATCCTGATCTACCCAGGCCTTCAGGCAGTGGACATGGATTTACCGTCCTACCAGCAAAATCGGGGAGTCCCTCTCTTACTCCGAGAACGCGCTGCTTTCTTTGCTTTGCTGTACCTACATGGGGATGCATCACACAAGCAAGATGTCCTGAAGGGCTCTCATGTTCCTCCGGAAATGAGACAGAAGTACAAAAAGTGGGTGAGCCCAAACAACATCCCTGAGAGGTTTAAGGCAAGAGGATACAACCCACAGAAAACTCATGACATCACAGCTGAAATTTTTAAGAAATTTGAAAGAATTTGTGAGCCCAACCTGTGCCCCCTGCTAGCTGAAGATGCTGTAATTCAGCAGCTGCCCCAGACCTTCATCTTAACTTGTGAGTATGATGTACTAAGAGATGATGGCTTGCTGTACAAGAAGAGGCTGGAGGACAACGGAGTCCCAGTGACCTGGTGCCACCTCGAGGATGGGTTCCATGCAATAATAAGCCTGTATGAGTATGGTGGGTTGTCGTTCCCATCTGGGAAAAGGGGATTGGACAGAGTTGTTCAATTCATAAAAGGCCTTTAGAAGAAGCTTTCCTTGGTTATGTTTCAGCATCTCAGAAATTAGCAGATGCTCCCAAAGCTTGGATGGTAATTGTCAGCAACAAAGTGATATCCCTCTATGTGTGCAATATCAGTTTTGAACTTGTAGAACTTCAAATGCAATAATCTGAACAGTGATCACTATTGACAGGTTAGCCTTTCTAGTGTTGCTTTTCAGCCCCTTTTCCATCAAATCAGCACCTGATAGATTCCTTAGATTTAATTAAATGATGATTTGCTTCCAAGTCAGCATTGTCAATGGAATAGTTGGGATTTACTAATTCCTGTGGATTACAGTCAGGATCTTTGTGATGTTCATTTGGCAAGCTTGCCTTTATTTTATTTAGATAACAAGTGCATGTCACGTATAAAGTGAATGGAGGGAGGAGTTAGAAGAAAGCTGCAGAACAAAAATGGAGGAGATGAGGGTTTTAGCAAAGAGATTTGGCCTTCAGGGGCATGGCAGAACCACATCTGCAAGAGGAGCTGCAGCAGAAGACCCGTGTCAATTTGGGACACCTCCCTGAGGCAAGCAAAGGCTGCCCTACTACGAAATAACCACATCTCTATCAACTCCTACTTAATTTTGGGTGTCTCCGGTATGCCCTCTGGAGCTTGGGGCAAGATATTGGTTGAGAGGGAGCAGCACGTTGTAAGGTATGAGACAGTAATGACAGAATGGGGCTCCTAGTTGGCCTCACTCATCTTTATTGCACTCTGCTGTACTCCTTCTAAGGGAGATCCCTGCCTTTTTTGAACCGGGGAGACTGGAATTGGATGCAGTATTTCACATATGGTCCTACCATGGCAGAGCAGAGGGGGAGGAGGATCATCTCCTTCACCCTGCTGGCCACGATCTGCGCAATGCACCCCAGGCTTGAATATTAAAAAAAAAAAAAAGAAAAAAAAAAA